TGAGCAAATGGAGGAGATAGTAGCATCAGAAGAAGAAGAAAGCGGAAGGGTTTCCAAGCTCACTCTTCCAAAATTAAAAATGCTGGAGTTGGAGCGGCTGCCTAAATTGAGGTGCATTTGTAGCTCAAGTGCAGTACTAGTATGTGATTCCATCGAAGAGGTTACAATCAGGTATTGCTCAGATCTGAAGCGTGTTTTTGGCTCATGGTTCAACCCACTTCAGACACTTGAGAGATTGAATCTTGAGGAATTAGAAAGCCTGAAATCCGTGTTTGATGAAGAAGCTCTTGCTTTGTTGTCAACTGCCCCTGCCACCACCATTTTCCCTCTTGTAAGCATTTCTATTGGAGGGTGTCATCAATTGAAGGAGTTGTTCTCACCTAGGTTTTTGCTTAGCTGTCTCCAGAATCTAGAAACTATTGACATTATAGATTGTGCGCAAATGGAGGAGATAATATCACTGGGATCTCAAGAAGAAGAAAAGGCCCTTCAACTCTCTCTACCCAAGCTATGGAAACTGAAATTGGAAGATTTGCCCGCATTGAAGAGCATCTGTAGCAACATCAGTGTGTTGAGATGTGATTCCCTCAAGTATTTGGCAATTATAAGATGCACTGAGCTAAAGAGGATTCCTTTGTATCTTCCCCAACTTGACAACGGCCAACCACTCCCGCCTCCTTCTCTCCAAGAAATCATTGTTTTTCCAAAAGAATGGTGGGAATCGTTAGAGTTGGACCATCCCAAGGAAAGGGATGCCCTTTTACCCTTCTGCCGATTCCTGGCGTACGAACCCTGGGAGTGGCAGCGGCTGCCGTTGCGGCAATGGCTATATTTAGCTTCACGGCCCCACAAACCTAAAACAAAACCCAGCGTCATAAAGCCCAAATTTGAATCCATGTGTTCCCCTTCCACTAAATTCCTCGATTTTGTTTCGGTGTAAGTTCCTCTTTTCCTTCTGTTTTCTGCAATAATTTTGAATACAAGAGATCCAATTTGGGTATCTCACTGCGTTGTTTCCTTCTCATGTCTTAGTTTCTCTTTTCCCTTTCATGGAGTCACAACCGTCTTCCCTTTATCAGGAAAATTTAAGCAGTACCTTCCCGTTAAAGAAAGCAACAAAGTCACAAACAAAAATTGAAAATGAGAGCAACAACGAAATAAACAGGTAAATATTGTTATGTTCACTCTTTTCTCCTTTCTCTTTTATGTTAATGTTCAGCGGGGATAGTGAGTTATGTTTGTTTGAATCTTGTTTTGA